AACAAAACAAAAACACTCTTCTGGGTGCACAGCTCCTCTCAGGCTCCCCAAACCTGGCCTCACTGCTAATGATTCCTCACACCCAAATTGTAGCCAGTCTTCCAAGCCACTTTCAGATAGATAGCACTGTGGGTGGCTGACAACGGGAACCCCTCCCTCTTTGCTGATGGGGACACTGAGGCTCATGGAGATTACAAGACTTGCCATCTCCTGGCACAGGCCTCTTTCCCTCTGCCTCAAAGCCCTTCCAGCCACCCACCTCCCTGGGGCACTCTAAGCCACCCCCACAGCCCTCTGATGCCAGTCCTGCTCCCGGGTCATGCCAGCCCCATCTTACCCAGATGGTTTTGTAGGTGGGCAAGGCTCCCCTTCAGCTCCTCGATTTTAATTGCATCCTGCCTTTTCTCCATTTTGAATATTTCAATCTGCCCAAAGCACAGGGGGAAAGGGCCCTGGAGACAGGGGCTGGTGGCTGGACAGACTACCATCTCCCTCTCCGCCCCCAGCTGCACAAAGCCCAGTTCCATAACCACCCCTGGGTGGACTATTCTTTTTACAGATGCCAGTGAGCCATCTAAGGCGGGGGGCTGAAGGGTCAGCTCTCACTTCTCCTGCCATTTTCAGCATTTGCTGCTGCCACTGCGCCTTCTCTGTTTTGAGTTGTTGAGCGTATGCGTCTGTTTCTAGCTGAGCTTTCTTAAGACACTCCGTCACCTGCAAGAATGGACCCAGGAGTTAGGAAGGGCTGTCACTGGTCCTCACCTGTTCCTGGCCACCTGGGGTCACCTTCCTTCCACATCCCTGCCTCCGCAAAGTCTCACCTCTGCCACCTGTGATTTTAGAAGTTCCCGCTCCTGTAGAAACTGCTGTAACTGCTGCCCAAGGACTGCTTCACAGCAGCTCGAGGACTGGAGGGTGAAGAGGGAGAAGCTTCAATCTGGAGAGCCTGGGCCATTCCACACAGTGCCCCTTAAAAGGGCTAGGGCTGGGCTTAATACACAACTTGGTCATTAAAATCAAGGCACATGGTATGGATTTTAACAGAACTCAGTAAAGTTGGAAGGGACAGGCAAAGAGATCAAATTATAGCTGGCTAACCGAGGCCCAGAGAGATCAGATCATATTCTATTGTTATTCCTGTTATTACTACTGCTGTTGAACCTTTACTGAGTGCGTCACCAGGTAGCATGCTAACAATCCCATTAACCTCACAGCCACCATGTGAGGCAGTTACTACCAGTACCTCTATTGTGTAGACGGAAAACATGGAGAATTAGAGGCTAGGTGGTTGCCTAAGATCACTTAGACAGAGCTGGGATTTGAACACCTAGGCCCATCTGATCCTCTAAGTCCATTTTTTTTCCTGCTGGGGGTGGGGGCACAGACAGAAAGGGGGAAATGAATCTTTTGTTCACTTTTTGAAAGGATGATACATTCGCATAGTCCAAAACTCAGAAGGTACAGAAGGGAAGTATCTCCCAGCCACCTGTGCTCTCTCCTGAGTTTTTTACAAATCCTTGCAGACATGTTTTATGTATATTATCATAGTATGTACACACACACACACACACACACACACACACACACGTTTCCTCTCTCTACACAAATGGTAACATGCTAAAGCTACTCTTCTGTACCTTCACAGTCCAAGTACCCAGTCCCCCACCTAGGACTTGGCCAAGGCCACAGCCAGGTAAGGGCAGGGCGGGCATTTGGCCTCTGAGCTCTGCGTCCAGTGCTGGCTCCCCATAGTGCCCTTCAACTCACCCACAGCAGCACCAAGGGGAAACTGGAGCCCAGGATTGGCAGCGTGGAATCAGGGGACCCCACCAGACTCTTACCAATAAGTCCATGGTGTTATTCAGTTTACTGGTTGTGACGGAGCTCGAGTCCAGGGCTATTGGTAGTTGGTGTGCGCTCTGAGGCGCATGCAGGGAGGAGGAGTTGGAGGAGGATCAGGGGAGAGGTAGAGAGAACAATCATTAGGGTTGGGGTGTGTGGGAGCTGTCTCGGCTGGCAGAGGGGCACCCACATGCCACTGTGGGAGGAGGGTGGAGGGCTGGCCTGCATGGTCACTGTACCTCAGCTCAGGGCCTCTTACCTCTGGATCTTTCACGGTGGCACATGGTGCAGGGCCCTCCTTGGGACCACCTGCTGCTGACTACAAGAGATGAGAGTGCACATGGAGATGTTCTGTCCCCCTCAGTGTCCAAGCCTCTGACTTCCTTTCCTCTCCATTAGCTGGCAGCACTTCCTGTTCTGCCTCTCGGACCCTTTGTCCCATGACTTCTCTGTGCCAGCTCCTCTCATGGTTCTTATCTCCCACCATCCCACCCTGGGGCCCTTTCAGTGACTCTTAAAGGGACAGCCTGACAGCAAATGGCTGTTCTCACTGGGCTGGCTTCCCCTTGAGACTGGGGATGAGGAAAACCAAACAGCAAGGACACTTTCCTGGGTGTCCTGGGTGTTTACAGCGGGCCATGTACTAGGGATTAACAAAAAAACAACAGCAATAACGAATCTCATTTCACCCTCACAAATGAAAGTCAGACAATATCGCCTCTATTTCACAGATGTGAAAGGAGAGGCCCAAAAAGCTCCAGCAACTTGCCCTAAATCATAT